TCAGCAGCTCACCTTCGTGTGTGAGCCTGTCCACTGCCCCCAGGTTTGTGCCCTCACAGGTAGAAAATGACCTCAAAAGCAAAGCGCACCCAGCCAAGCAGGAGTGGTGCCCAGGAAACCTGAGAGCCCTTGGAGGTAGCCCCCACAACCGAGCGCGCTCCTGCGGCCTCCGGGACTCCCTGCGCCTCCAGGCCCTGTCCTGGCCTCCGGGTGAGTTCACTAAGGCTCCGGGGCCCAGCCAGGAAGGGGCAGAGCGGGGTCGTGAACCAGGATCTGTGGAGGTTGAAGTTCCCGTCTGTTCTCTGCGGGGGCCTCACGCCGGACACCAGCCCCTCGACTCTCACGGCGAAGGCCACCTGCGTTCCAGGCCTGTGCATCAGACGCCATCGTCATCGCCCCCCACAACAGCCAGGAAAGTGAGGCGTCCGCGTCCCTAACGGACCAGGCAGAGCTGGGCGGGACTCCAGGGAGCAGGACAGAGCTCAGAGAGGGCTGGAAGACCTGGAGGCCCTTGAGCTCACCGAGGCCTGGGCTGTCCCCATGCCCAGCCTGTCCCCAGGGGAAAATGGCCCCAGTCCTGTCCCCAGGGAGCTCTGCACTGAGATGGGGGAAAGGATGAGGTAGAAATGGAAAGAAGAAAGAGACAGAGCGGGCGGCACCGGATCTATGCAGACAGCAGACACGTACTGCGCACCTACTATGTGCCAGGAGCTATTGTAGTGCTGGGGTACAGCCAGGGATGCATGGCTTGGCCCTTTGGGCTCTGACTCCGGCAGGGAAGACCGTGGACCCACAAGGCAGTAAGTAAACATGCCCGTGCTGGGTGGGGTCTTGAAGGGTCCTCGCTGTGACTGGCCAGGTGCTGGAGGAAAGTGGGGTCACTATGCTAAAAACCCGGGGTGTCTGGAAAGGCCTTGGGAGGAGGTGACACTGGAGGCGAGCCCTGAGGGCGGAGCCGGAGCTGGAGAGGGGAGGGGAAGGGACCGCACCGAGGGCCCCTGCTCAGGAGGACCAGCTCCCGCCCGCCTGGGGCCCAGCCTCTTCTCAACCCTTTGGTCCTGAGCCTCTTCCACATCAGCCCCCAGAGCCAGAAGGGGGTGTGAGGAGACGCCCCTGGAGTGGGGACGCTGGCTCAGGAGCACAGGAGGGACCTCCCCCAGCTCTTGGCTTCCAGGGCCCAGGGCCAGGCGCTGCGGCCCCTGCCGAGTCAGGCTGCGGCCACCTCTCCTGAGAGGTCACCGGGCTGGACACGTGGACAGCCAGGCTGGACAGGGAGGGCGGGGGTCCCGGCCAGCGGAAGGCGCCCAGCCCTGATTGGAACAAGGTGGCGGCCTTGATCTCGCCCGGTGTTCCAGCCACTGGGCGGGGCGGCCGGGCAGGCTGCCGGCTTCCCCAGG